TTTTTTCGACCCTTGGCAGGGGGGGAGGGTGCATTCTTGCTGGAGGAGTCTTCTGCCTTAGGTGAGTTGTGGGCCAATGCTGGGAATGCCAATGCTGTTATATTTGTTTGTTTTTGGTAAATGAGTTTTTGGTTTTGTGGGCCAATGCGGAGCGCTCTCCAAGTTTTTTCGGACCTTTGAGGGGGTTGGGTCGGTGCCTTCTTGCTGGAGTAGTCTTCTGTCTTAGGTAAGTTGCCTTCTGCCCTCCCTCCCCTTAGGGACTTTGAAATATCTATGTATCCATATGTATATGTGCAAGTGTGCCACTTTGGCGGCAGACGGGTGTGTGGGCACTTTGCGCTGAACCACACAAACGTGGCCAACCTTGCATTTTAATTATTATCTCAAACCGATTTGTTTTATGGATGGCTTGTGATGATTTGTGGAGGGCATGAGAGAGATAATCTGGGGTCTTTTAAAACACCACACACACACACACACACGTGGGCACTTCCTGCTCAATTACACAAGGGGGGGGACCTTGCACCTTCTATTATATTGCTCATCTATACGTCTACTATAACTCCTAAATTGCGCAGTGGGTCTTGGAAGACGCTTCCGGCTGGATCAAGGTGTCCCACCGGCATCCCGGCTGGATCAAGGTGTCCCACCGGCATCCCGTTTTCCTTGGACGGCGCAATCATCTTTTTTTTTTGTTTTCGAGGTGGCGAGTTTGAAGTGCACCTTTGGCAAGTCGGGAAACACAAAATGTTGGCAGACAGTGCCAGACACCGTTCTGTCGTCGTTTCACGCGGGGCTGTCCTCAAATTTGTGACCACATAGCAGGTCGAAACGGCGTCCGGAATCTTCTGCCGATTTCGGGGAAATTTTGTTGTGCTCAGCTGTCGTATTGAGCACATAGCAGGTCGAATGTACCAGACCGAAACCACGCGCAGAATAGAGGGCACCAGGGAAGGGAATCTGACGTGCACCGAATCTGTTCGTCCTCTGGCGGAAATGCGAAGTGGCCCAATGCAAACGCGGTGCAAGGCGCATGTTGGAATACAAGTACATGGTAACGGCCTTTGGGTATCGCCACACCGCTCTCGAAATATGCAAAATGAGAATGAACTTCCTGCTAGAACATGGCCAACTGCACCCACCACATTTTTGTCTTTTTCACATTTCGAGAGTGGTGTGGCGAGGCCCTTCCTCTGCTATTCACCAACTGTGGAAATTGGGACTGAATCTTACCCAGAAGAGGGACTATGTGGATGTGGTGAGTAGAGCACTGCACTACCCATCTTTTATGGAAATTGAACCTGATATAAGCAGACAGACTACTGTGCTTTTGTGTTTTCTTTTCCTGTTTAGAGAAAACCAGGGCACCTTTTTTTTTCATTTTTTTTCCCAAGGCCCCATCTATTCTGGGGGGCAACAGTCCAGGTGCATATTACCAGCGAGCATGGTACAGCATTCAAGATGAAGAAGAAGAGAGTCCGTAGATAAAAAAAAGAGCCAGCCTTTTACCCCTGCAGCACGAGACCCTATGCAGGGGTGCAGCTAGAGGGGGGCTCGGTGATGTATCTTTTGTAAACGAGTCGATAGTCCTCCGCCTCATTCGAAAAGAGATTCTAATGGTTCACTGGTTACGCACTAATCTTGGAAAATAAGTGAAAAACACAAGCGGTTAACAGGGACCCCCATTCCTGGTTAACCCCCTCAACCCTGAAAAGTGCATTGGAGTTTGTTTTTTTTTGCCCTGTTTTATTTTTGGTCAAGGTCTGTGTGTGTCAAGTTTGGTGTTTGTTGGTGTCTTGGAGGTGACTGCTTTGGCTAGCCCTGAAAAATCCTGAAGATCCTGAAGACTGAAATGGGTGAATTTTGCATGAAAACACACTTTTGCCTTGCTGTTTTATAGCTTTTTAAAGTTCGTTTTTCAATTTTGTTTTTGTAAGTGGTTAGTATGATCTCCACTCTATGAATTGGTGACAAGTTTGGTTAAAATGACCCTTGGGTTTTGTTATAAATGGCCTGACAAGTGGTCTGAAAATTGAGGCCTCCGTTAACCGTCTCTCCCCAAGACCGCGGAGAAGTCCGGAGGTGGAATGACGATTAGAAGTGTGTTGTTTCTTGTAGCGGGACTCGAACCCACAGGGCGCGAAGCGCCGCCATGGAGAATTTCATGGAGAATATTTGTTTCCCAGCTCCGGGTGTTCAAATATCGCCGGGAAACATACATAAAGTACCCAGTCGATCATTTATGGGGGTCCCATGCGGGCAGTATCAGGTCACTGGCCTGCGCCTCCCGTCTCTTAGCCTCACCACCGAATTCCACTCACCCTCTATTCCGTCCGAGTCCCCCCATCTACGAGCTACTCACCCTCTTGTTTCTTCAAAATCGATTCTCTCCCCTTACCTTATACTCCTGATACCCCCAGAACCCTTAACTCCCTTATCTGGGTTCTATTTGTACCCTCCATTCCATTCCAAATCCAATCTCCTTCAGACCCCTCTTTAGTTCCCAGTACCCTTAACTCCCTTATCGTGATTCCCAACCTCCTTATGCGGCACTTCTCCGCTTTCGCCACTAGTTTCTCTGCCGCCCTCACCCCTAAATTCCTCTATTCCTCCTCTGCTCCCGCACCATTATTTCAGTTTTATGAGAGTCCTACGCGCTTCCAATACCCTACCCGGGTGGCCCACCCCGTAAGCTCACTACCCATCTATATTGTAGTACGCTACTACGCGCCCCTCGACGACCCTCCTTCTAAAACCCCTTCTAACTATAGTACACGGCGACCCAGCGTCTAATCTTCCTTGCTTACAGCATACTTCTGTGAAAAAAAAGAAAAAGGTAGGGCCAAACTTGCCGCCAAAGGCCAGTCTGCCTGTCTCAGGGTCCTTCCTGACCTGCCTGGGGGGTAGCTCCCCCAAATTCTCCAAAATTTGCTTTCATTGTTCCCCGCTTTCCGCTCACATCACTGCTGCACTGCATATCCACCAAGATGGCTATTTGGGTCGGGAGCCTTCCAACGCACTACTTGTCACCTCTGGCACGGTTACCTCCTTTCCCTGGCGAATGCTTTCATCTCCGACTGTCCATACAGCCCAGAGCACTTTAGTCAGCTCGTACTTCTCTGGATGCATGCAACTGCAATGACAGCCGCATTCATTCCACAATGTCCCGGTTTGAGCATTCCTTGAACTGCCTCCGACTTCACTGCATATGCGGTAGTGCTGTATCTGGACATCTATATGGCAGGGTTGACTCTACGGAGGGCAGATACTTGGAGGTTGCTGTTGAATGCTCACAGGCGTCTCCGTTCTTTTTCCTCTCTATCTGCCCTACTGTCCCCCCTTCTTCCCTGTCTTTCCAACCTACCGTCTTCACACGAATAGAACGCCCGGTCATTATAGCCGTATTTGGTGCACTTTTCAGTCCAGATGCAAAATTCGTATATGATTTGCAACTTGACATCAGTTTTTTTTGGAATTTTTTTCTGTGGGCTTTTCGTCAGATGAGGTATATGCCCACGATTTTGCGGGGCATTTAGACATAAAAATCGCCCAAGATGGTGGTGTGAGAAAATGCTCTCGGAGTCAGTGTTTTTTTTTTTTGTTTTTTTTTTTTGTTTTTTTTTTTTTCCTTTCCCCGTTTCTTTATTTTGGGGCGTATTTTTTTTATTTTTTTTTCCCCTTGTGGGTTCTTTGTGAAGTGAGGTATATATACCCTTATAAATTTTCAGGGAATTTGAATTTATCAGAAAGAAAACAAAAATCACGAAAGGTTGCGGTGTCAAAGAAAAACAACCGGTGCATCAGTTGCAGCAGCAGCAGCTGTGTCATCTCTTGCAGCAGCCGTTGCATCTTCTGTTGCAGAAACTATTGCAGAAACTATTGCAACGGCTGCAGCAGTCGCAGCGGCTGTGTCAGTTGCAGAAACTATTGCAACTGCTGCAGCAGTTGCACCAGTGCATCAGAAACTATCTGCGCCATTCCATCTTCTGTTGCAACTGTTGCAGAAACGATTGCAACTGCTGCAGCAGTTGCAGTGGGCTGTTGCAGTTGCAGAAACTATTGCAACTGCTGCAGCAGTTGCAGCGGTGCATCAGAAACTATCTGCGCCGTTGCAGCAGTTGCAGCGGTGCATCAGAAACGATTGCAACTGCTGGAGCAGTTGCAGCGGCTGTTGCAACTCTTGCAGCAACTACTGCAACTGCTGCAGCAACTACTGCAACTGCTGCAGCAACTAATGCAACTGCTGCAACTGTTGCAGCAGCCGCTGGAACTGCTCCAGCAGCTCCTTTTTTGTGTTTTTTTTCCTGCTTTTCCCCGCGCTGCTTAGTTACAACTGCTGAGGCTGCTCCACCTGCTGCACCTGCTGCACCTGCCGCAGGTCCTGCAGCTAATGCACCTGCTGCTGCACCAGTGCTGCATCTGCTGCAGCAGACCCCCCAACCTATCCCCCCACCCGCGTGTTCTTTCTTTACCCCATCAAAATGGCCCCAAATTTTCACCACGGGGTCCCCATGCCGAGCGTGGAACCCACCTATAGTATTTTGAAAGTACCGGATGTCCGATGAGATGTCCAGCCCAGCTGTCCAGTCGTCGGACAGCTGGTAATAACACATAGGTAACTTTTTTTACCCTATGAGTAGTAAATACTAGTATTTTTTTTGGGGTACCTTCTGAGGGTGGCTGCGGAAATGCGCTAACGGAAATGCGTCGACATGATATGCATCCACATGAAAAGCATGTACTTGAAATGAAATGAATCTAAATGAAATGCAGGCATGATGTACGAATTTGCGGTTACTCGATGCTTGTGCTTTGTTTACTGGCTATGTACAATCCAGGGGGTATGTGCTGGGTGTGGGATTGTTTTTACGCTGATGATGGATAGCTTGATCTTACAGGGAGGAGCAATGTCAGGGTGGTGTTGTTGATAAGAGCAAGAACTGACAGCAGCCAGGCGAAGCAGCGATCGCCGTGTGCGGGTGGGGTGGGCTAATGTTCGGGCGATGTTTGGGGGGAAGAGGATAGTTTGCAGCGTACGATCTTCTTCAAACCGGCTCGTTTAAGTGATGGATCAGAAGAGTGGGGGGTGAAATGAGATCGAGAGGAAGGGGAGCGGTTATTGGGAAGGGCAGGAGAGGGGAGGAGGAGAAGGAGGAGATGGTGAGGGGAGGAGGAGGAGGAGATGTGGATGGTCCTTTCGGACAATTGTACAGTGTTGGACATGCCTTTAGACCGTTCAATCCTGTCTCTCACAGTAGAGCAAGCAGATGGACCGGCGGCTCCAGCGGCTCCTTGAAGAATTCACCCTCCGGTAGGCCTGGAGGAGAGTCAGCCACTCACGTGGCGATAGGCAGGGAGGCTTCCTTATCGTCTGCCGGTGTTTCGCAGAAGGTTTCTGCTTCTGCGGTCCGTAGCAACCAGCGAAGGCCAAGCCAAAAAGCGGCTGTGGCGACGACAGTGTCAGCGTCAGCATCATCGACAGCGGCGGGAAGTGCAGGAAGGGGAGGTGACATCAAGCATAAAGGAAAAGGCCGTGCACAGGCCGCCGATAATGATCGTAAAGCCCAACAAGACGAGCAGACTAAAGGACAAGAGGATGGAGGGAAGGACAAGAGGGGAAAGAGAAGGAGAGTTGGGGGAGAAGGAGTGGAGGATAGGGGGCGGGAGAAGAGGAGCCGTCTCCTCTCGCCTCGAGGACTGCGAACGAGAGCATGCGCGGAATCAGAGGAGCAGGAAGAGTGTCAGATGGAAGAAGACGGAGGCAAGGTCAGCTCACCAAACCGTTGCGGAGACGGGAAAGGAAAATTAGAGGAAAACGAGAAGCAGAGAGGGAATGCAGCAAGCAAGGGAGAGAAGAGGAGAAGAGAGAGAGAAGGATGGGTTGCGGGTGTCGTTTTGGCAGGGGGTGATGGAGGAAGAAAGATGGTCGTGCCGGTGGACAAGCTGGACGAAGAGGAAGGGAAGGCCGATAAGGAAAGTGGGGAGAGGAAGGATGAAACACTGGCATCTGCCGGAACTCATATGGTATTAAGGAGTGCAACAGGACAGCGAGGCGGTCCTGGGGCAGGGAGAAGCAGTGGGAGGCGGTCACGTAAGGAGAGGCTGGCAGCAGGACCTTCCGCCCGTCGCGAATGGGTAGTTGTGATCTCTAACGGAGGTGATGAGAAGGATGTAGGGCGAAGAAAATCAGCCAAGCCAGAAGCGAAGGAGGGTGCTGGTGGTAGGCTCCCCAAGGGATTGAGGACAGGACCTGCATCACCGTCAGCAGTCTTATCCCACAGCAGCAGGGCTGGCAAAGAAGTTGTGGCGAAGCGAGGGAAGAAAGATAAAGCCAGCAGCAGCGAGGCTGCTGGTGAGGGTGACGACGAGGATGACCGTACTCAGACGGGTGAGGTTGGTGCAGTTGCAGGACAAGAAGAAGGACCAGAAGGACAAGAGGAAGGACCAGAAGGAGAAGAAGAAGGACCAGAAGGGCAAGAAGAAGGGCCAGAAGGACATCTAGAAGAACCAGGTGGCGAAGCCGAAGTATCTCCAGCAAAGAATTCAGAAGAGGGGATGTCGTGTGCAATGGAGGCAGCACGGTCAATTGAAGAAGAGGAACAGGTGCAAGCAAAGGAAACAAAGACAGAAACGAAGGAGGAGGGGCAGGCGTCTGAAGAGGATGCACAGGGGGCAGGGGAAGAGGCTAGAGAAGCAGGTGGGGAGGTTCAAGCAGCAGGACACGAAGCGAAGGCAACTATGGAGAAGGGTTCGGCAGTGCAAGAGGACACTCGGGCAGAAGCACAAGAGGACGCTCCTGCGGTAGCAGCAAAGGCTTTGGCAGAAGGACAGGAGGCGCGTGTAGAAGTGGGGGAGAATCCAGAAGCACGAGAAGAGCCACAAGAAACACGGAAGCAAGGAGAGGAAGGAGAGGATCATGCTGCCCAGGTTGTGGGGACCGTCTGTAAACAAGGAGTGACTGTGTCTTGTCCAGAAGATAGGGTGGGAGGAGGCATGATCCCCTCTTGCAGCAGCAGCAGCGTGCGGAAAATGGAGAAAGCTGCGGGTGTTGTGCAAGGATCTGAGAATCTACGATCACAGGATCATCTCTCAGCAAATGGGGGGGGGGATGAGAGCCTGGTACTCCGTCGTGAGGAATGTGCAGAGGATTGTGTGAAGATAGAACAGAAGGAGGAGGCCAGTGGTTCCGCTTGCAGGAAAACCACCAAGAACATGGAAGGAGATAAGCTACCATCCATACTTCTTCCTCCTCGTCCTCCCCAACCTCTTGAGAAATCCTCCAGCGAGGGGCGGGCGGATGGAGGAGGTGGTGCTGCCAGGCCCATTCTCAGCCGACCATGGCCTAACGGTCGAGACGGAGGAAGGAGCGCCATGGGAGCGCCAGTGAAAAAGACGCTGGGTGCCACCAACCTGCCCTCCTCATTTTCCTCCTTCCGTCAACTGCCGCAGCAGCAAATACACGGGGGAGGCTTTGTAAGGAGGAATCGTAGTGGAAAGGGATGGTGGCAGGTATCCCCATCAACGGAGGAGGAAGACGAAAGGAGGAGGAGGGCTGCCATGTGTGGCAGTGGCATTGGCAGTGGAATAGGAGTTGTTGTGACCAACGGATCTCTAGGCGCTGTCAGCGAGTGGAGGCATGAAAAGGGGAAAGGAGGGAGTGGTTTTGAGCCAGGGGATCGAGGAGGTCAGATGGAAGGTGGGCCGTTGGGGACCGCCGCGAATGCTGTCCCTTTGCGGACAAAGATGATGGGTCGGGAGGCTGACTGCAACTCCTTTCTGATTGGACCCTACTGCTCGTACGGCTGGAGTGAAGATGTGGAGCTATCAGCGCTGAAGACTGCAGATGAGGTGTTGGCGGTCTACCTTATATTCTGCAAAGATGGAAATCAAGCTATGATCTTCACGAGGAAGCAAGATGGAGGCCGTTGTTGGCGACTCCCCGCAAGAGCATTTGCTGGCAATCCCGGGGACGAAGACGTCACTTCCGATGTCACCAAAGTCTTGCCCCCGGGCTATTCCTGCGGCCTGATGTTAGAACCCCCTCGCTTAGCTTATTGGGCTGTCAACGGCGAGCAGAAATATCGAACAACCTTTTTCATGTTCAAGGCAATCAAACGTAACAATGTGGGAGGTAGCGACGAAGATGGGAAGGAGTCAGGGTCGTCGCATCCGTCCTTCCCGGGCACTAAGTCGTCAGAGCTAGAGGTGGAATGGATCGACCTCGCGGTCCTCGCGGATCCCTTGGCGGAGATGACCGGTAGGGTTCTGGTTATGGGCCGTTCAAATGCGTCTTTGCTATTCCGAATGCAGCCTAGGCTTAGGGGACCATGGTGGCCACTGCACCCCGGATTCCCGCAAAGACTGGCTCACTCCAAGGTTCACTTCCCACTCCCTCAGCGTGTGATACCCTCTAGACCAAAGCCACTTTATGGTTAGGATGAACCAAAGCTGGAGCCTATCGTCCGTCAGGTCCATAGCCGAAGCTGGGAGAAGAGAGAAAGGGATAGAAGCAGTACCATGCCAGCATGCCAGCACATATGCGCAGACGTCTCCATAGCTGCGCATGCACGCACACCCATCTGTTTGTGTGTGTGCTCACACGTGCATGCACTTGTGCTCATCTATGCATGAGAGAGAGAGAGAGAGAGAGAGAGAGAGAGAGAGAGAGAGAGAGAGAGAGAGAGAGAGAGAGAGAGAGAGAGCAGTCCAAGATGGAAAATGCATGGAATAGGTAGCAAAGAAAGACATGGTGGTGAGGTATTAATCCCTTTCCATTTTATCTTTCAATGTTGCAAAGGGGTTGGTGGGGGATTACCTGAAGGTGAAGGTGTATCTAGGATAGGACGTAGTAGGACCAGGAAGCCCCAAGGCTTCATTACAGAAACAGAGACCCCTCAGATGGAGGAGGCTGTGGCGGGCAAGCGAGGGGGGGGGGGGGGAAGGGGRGGGGAAGGGGGGGGATTCTCCAGGAGATGCAGACTGATGAGGAAGGGGGGAGGAACGAGAGCGGATGGTCGAGGGCATTAACGTGTTCTGCTTCTTGCTCTGTATTTTCTTGGAGCATCAACAGATGAATCAGAGGAAGATGGGTGAGGTTGATTGGGGGGCGCGCGCATTTAGGGGAGTTTGGGTTGTGGGGAGGAGAGGTGGGGGGGGAAGGGGGAGCAAGCGAAGGAGTGGAGAAGGGGGAGGAAGAAGTGGGTTTATGGGGGCTCTGCTGTAACTCACATAGTTTTCAAGAGAGCGATCAGTCCGGGGAGGGAAATTGTTGAAGTGTGTATTGTACTCTGGGGTGCTTTCATCTTGTCGTCGCTCATATTCTCTCTTTTTTGCCTTACTTGCGTGATGTAGAGCTGCACTGACAGCCCTGGGGTAGGAGAAGGTAGGAGAGGAGAGGGTAGGAGGAGAGGTGGTTCGTTTCCGATGTCCATGGATTCCTATCTACAGCTGTTTGTGCCTCTATGCAGCTTTTTGAACGTTCCGACTTGTACATTCCGCTTGTCTGGATCTCCTCCATCGATCTTTGCCCGTTTCTTTGTTCAGCTTCTTCCCTGCAAGGATTGTTTTTTTTTTTTTTTTTTTTTGTATTTTATGTCTTGTCATCATCATCAGCTCGTTGGGGGTCGCAAAGCGACAATTGTGTATTTGTCATGCCTGTAGTAATTTCCCCTTTTCAAGCACTGAAAAAAAGAGAAAGGATCGGTGTTATGGCGGTGGTGCTGGGCATGGCTGTGGACCTGTGATTGGTTGATGGCGATTCCCCCTTCCGTCTCCCTTCTCCATCTGTATTGCTGCAACTTGCCGGGCTAGTTTTCCTCCCTGCCTTATTATAATATTTTATGCCCAAAGTGGCAACAACGCAGCAACTTGAAGAAACAGAGAGAGAGAGAGAGAGAGAGAGAGAGAGAGAGAGAGAGAGAGAGAGAGAGAGAATGCGGGGGAACAAGCAGAGATCTAATTCCTTCAGAAGTGTTGTTATCACCGCCAACTTTGTTTCTGTGTATGAAGTACGATGAACTTTTCTATACCGATCCGTCCAGAGAGAAGGTGTCTGGACTCTGGAGTCTGGACATATAGATGGAGGTGTGAACCGCCAGGTCCGCCACCACGTCCCTTCATGTGTCTGATTTTGAGGTGACTGCAATGTCATTTTTGGGGCCTTAAATTTGTGAAATCTACGGTCGTCAATTGTCGCATGGGTTTCCCATCACCAATATACCTTTTTTTTTTTTTTTTTAAGTTCCAGAACCTTCTAGTTATATCTTGGGATCTTGGGAGGTCGAGGGTTCAAAACTTCAAAGATACAAAATTCAAATCCCCTTTTCCGCCCTCCACCGCTTACTGAATTTCAATTTTCAAGAGAAGTTACAAAAACCTTTTACGTAATATGCTTTTCCTTGGATCTGATCCAATGTATAGGAACACTAATAAAAATAAAAAAATAAAAAAAAGAAATAAAAATAAAATATACAATGGGAAAAAAAAGGAAAAATGAAAAATGAAAAATGAAAAGTGAAGTCAAATTTTCATCATCATCTTGCTGATGTTCTCTTGGTTGTGACATTGAAGACAGACAGACAGACAGACATAAAGTGAGTTCCGTGAACTGAAGATGAACTTTCAGTACAACTTTCCACGTCCCGATTTTGTTCGATAAGGAGATTCCCCTGTCGCTTTTAGATTCTAAATGCACGCAATTCTCTCTCTCTCTCTCTCTCTCTCTCTCTCTCTCTCTCTCTCTCTCTCTCTCTCTCTCTCTCT